CTTATATGTATTATAGTGTTTAGTATAATATAAATATATGTATATTCTATAAGCATGCAGACAAGTGATTTTTTTAATTTTAGGGTGATTCCGGTGGCCCCCTTATTTACGAATCCAATGACGGAAGGAAAATACAAATTGGTGTTGCAAGTACAAGTCAGGTACAGTACGTCCTGGTGGAATTAACACATTCATGTCGACAAGTTACTTTATTGACTTTATAAGAGAAAACTGCGTAGGAGAATTGACATTTGTGTAAATAACTTAGATAAATTCTCTCTTACCTCTGAATCATATACAGGACGACCAATACATTTATAATCGTAAAATTTGAACTTACACCAGATCAACGTTTTAAACAATAGTAACCACGTCACATAAATGTCTTCCATTTTCAAAGTACCAATAAAAACGTCGGTCTTAGGTCAGAGTATTTGGAATTGAAAATTGGGCGAGCTATCCGAATATGCCAGACACCGCTTTTTACCATTGTGAGTGAGCCGTGATGGGTTTTATTAAAAAGCTTTTGTCTTTTCAAAGATGGAATTACAATGCAACATATCTTAATCAACCCACAAATAAAGATTTCTGGTCTTATCCAAAGTTGATTCATAGCGACAACGTAATGCCTTCATTGCCTCAGCCATCCGGTTGTCAACATTATTAGTTATAAAATAAACAGGCAGCGAGTTGCTCAACTTTCCCGGCAACTTTTTTAAAATTACGGTGGCTTCATTTTTTATCGTATTATAATATTAAAACAACTTTTTACATTTTAACTATTATAAAATGGAAAAAAAAAACTTAATTTTGAGGGTAGAGATGAGTTTTATTTGATTGCAAAACGATTGTAAATGCTAATAACGAGTAAAATCGTCATTAAGAGAGATACACACGACCCCCTTTATCTTTTCATCCCTTGACTGTTAATCACCGAAATTTAATAGCAACAATTCCCCTAATACACAAATCTTCCTAACAACGTTTTACATGAATAATTATTTCGTTGTGGAAAGTCATGATATCAATTATTCGAGTAATCGTTCCGACGTCAAAAACCATAATACTGGTGTCAAGAATTTTTATTAGCTAACTGTCCAATAATATTTTAACGTTTAATTTAAAAATTTTTTTATTATTTTTTTAAATACTCAATATTTTTAAATAAAACTTTCAAAAGGACCACATAAAAGGTTTCGAAAGAGCTATTAAGTAAACAGTACGCGCACACCTAGATTGCTTTGTAACTCGGTGTCGCTTTGAACATCTAGGTGACATGAAACCGATTGCATCAGTCGAAAACGAACCAACAAATTTATTCAAAATTTACGATATACATAGTACTCATTGAGGATACTAAACATTTTAAATTCCATCCAAATCGGTTCATTGGTTTTGGAGATATTAAAGGTCATATTTGGCACTTTAACATTTATTATACATTTGGGATAGCTCAACTATAGATGGAAATTCTATTTTAATCACTGAGTGCGTTAGCATTCGGTAGTTAACATTTTGTGGAATTGTTAAAAATACTGATTTAAATCAAATAATAATCGAGTAAGAGATCGATGATACAAAGAAAAAAATTAAGATATGTTTAAGTTAGAAATATGCAAATAGAAACAGATAAAGACATAAAGACAAATGACAGAACATAACTAAAAAAAGTATTATATTTTCATGTATACAGAGCACTTACCATCGTAAATCATTTATATTTGAAAATTATTATTATTCTCTCTATTTGACTATAATGTATAGAATTACAATTTCAATTTGAAAAAATCCAATAAACTATGACACTCGTTTATGACTGGGAAACAATTGACGAAGTAACAGCTAACAACAGACCTTTTCTTGTAGGCTACAGTTAGAGTGGAATCTATTTCGATAATGCCATTCGGAAGCCATTCATTTACTTTTTATTAAATTCGCATGAAATCTTGCAAATACAGAAATTAATAATAAAATAAATTTTGTCAAATTCACTTAGTAGTATACGGATTTCAGTTACGAATATCACTGATGGTGGCCTATTAGGTACAACCAGTAAACACCGGTTAAAACCAAGTGGCAGTGGGTTCGCACTTAACAAATTGCAGGTTTATGGGATTTTTTGCATCTTTTACACTGAAATAGCGACCAATTTCTTACGTAAACTCTTCCTTGGAGATGTACACCTTCGGCAGATCGCCAAAGGGTTGCATTGTCTTATTCCATCAATTTAATTCAATCAATTGCAGATCTTATAAAATTCATTTTAAAGTTCTAAACATCCCATTTTTATTACATACTTCGAACTCTTTACTCCAGTGAATAATTTCGACAATGAAATGTATTAATAATGTATTACGCACAAAATTCACCATACAAAAACTTTCATTTCAAGTATATTTTCGTTATTCGAGTATTATTTTGTTCTTATTTTTTTATAATTTCTTACCAATTTATTCCATATTATTTTATTTTATAAATTAAATAAATTACTTCTGTTAAATTAATTTGATTAGTTGAAATATCATTAACATAATATTAAAATCCCACTTTTACAATAAAGAGAAATTGCAGCTTTACTCTAATCCATCTTCCACTTTCTTTCCTACGTTTATATAAATATAATTAACTGAATAAAGTCCAGATAGCTTCAATTGACCAATCCGTTGATGAGGTGCGAACCCACCATCAGCTACTAATGCTTAGTAGTTCATTGAATCGGTCACTTGTAGGCACAAAAATGTATTAATTGGGCAATGTAAAACCTGGACATATATACCTGGACATTATTTTTATCTTTTAAATTATAATAAACAAATACTATGGAATGCAGATATCAAAATATTTGTTGCAAAAATATTTAAATTCGTAAATATAATTGTTTTTTTTTTAATTTATATACAATTACAGTATAAATTCTTTTTAACTGTGATCAAGTTTCATCAATCGATCGATTGAGAAAATTAATTGTTTATTAGATCGTAACTTCACTAAATTCGGTTGTAATCTGTGATTTAATTATTTGACGAAAATACATTGATATAATTAAGTATGATATTTAATACGATAACTACTTGGAGAAACCAAAGGTATGTTCTTTTACTTAGAATTAAATTTTAAATTTTCTTGTTGTCAAATATACAAGCAGAGAAATCCAAAATAAAAATACGTAAACGTGCCTTACTTATGTATAATTCACAAGAGACTTTGATATGTCCAGACATGGAAAAAATTCGGGGTATTTTTCTTTATGTATGGATGTTAATGTGTGAAGGCACGAGTTTGTTCATCCTGTTTGAAGCTTAATAACTCCTGTGTTTTTTGCCGAAACTTTTTATAATTTTACAGAGAGGTTTGTGCATTAGGGCCATTGATTATGTTAAATTTTGGTGGTTAAGGGATGACGGGGTGGGAAGATATACGGTCTTGTGACATATATTGAATACTGTCGGACTGAAACACGATTTTACTCGTTACTATCATTTACAGTTTTTGATAATGCCCATCCCTATCCTCAAAATTAGACGGTCGGTCAAGGTGGCAGCCTACCGCTGTGGGGGTCCCGGATTAGATTCTGGTCGGGTCGATAAATCCCCAGGAATTTTTTCGAGGTCCGGTTATGTCGCGCCCGTCTCTCACAACCCGGTAGCTCGATTGTGGGCCTGCACAAACACACAATGGGCTTGCGAAAAGAAGCCCTTTATTGCACGCAGGACAGAAAAAGTTTTTAAAAAACCCTCAAAAGTAAGTTTTTTGCTATTTTATAATAATCAATTACAGTATATAAGTTTTTTTTTAAATAAAATATCGTAACTGATGTCGGCACCAAAATTTTAAATGTTACCAGGAAAATTAAGCAACTCTGCTGCATTTTTATAAAATTGTTTTTATATGGAATTTATATGGAGGGACAAGATTAAAATGTTTATACGAAGAAGCAAACAATACCGTAAATTATTTTATTTAAATATAATTATTCTTTTACTTTTAAAGTTTTAAAATTCTACACAACTCAGTATACGTGTTGAAGGTCTTCCTTGTGTTTTTTACAATACTCTGTTTGTATGTAAATGCCGAGGAGAATGGAAATAAACCAAGTGAGTTAATAACTGTAATTTCTTGATTATAATTATTGATTAATCATAAAAATTTCGTGATTTTTATAGGAATTGTTAAAAGAATGATTGGTGGATCTCAGGTTAAAATTGAGGAATATCCATTTATGGTAAACCAAATAGCAATCATTTTAATTTATATCGCTTAAAGTAAATGTAATAATGTTTTATTTTCAGATGGCCGTTTTACTTAACCAAAATTCAAGTAAAATGAATATCATGTTTATTGGAACTAGCACATTAATTACAACAAGAACTGCTTTGACAGCTGCTCACGTAACAATTTAGTAAGTTAATACATTACGGAGATGGATGTAAACTGAAATTTCTAAGAAAATCTCATTATAAAATCTTACTCTTTTAAAATTACATTTATTTTTATTAACCTTTGTTTGAATTTTTCATATAGTCATGCTGCTAAAAATTTGATTGGGAGTGTGGGACATGCACATAAGTTCCGGGGACGAAAAATACATTTTTCAAATAAGATTGAGCATCCGAACTACGTAGCAAAATATTCTAAAAATGACATTGCAGTGTTAATAATACAAGACGATACTTCTGAATTCGATAGATTTAAACTTCCATCAAATGTCCAACCAATCGCTTTGCCACGTGACAATAAAACATACACTTTTGAAAGAGGATCAATGGTTGGGTGGGGCAAAATTGGACGAGGTAAGTACGCATTTCAATTTTCCATCATATTTCAACGATGATAAGATTTATATGTAAAATAAACAGAAGTATACATTATTTAAGTTGTCAATAATATTCTCAAAATACATAAATATTTTCTTTTTTTAAGTTTTAAATTTGCTCCATAAATCAGTATCAAAATTTCATAACCGTTCATTATTTCATACAATGCACAGTTCCTTTCCTTATAGTAAAACACACAATACGGAATTAGTTTAGTCATCTATTACGACAACATAATCCTTCGTTATGATTACAAATTAGCCATTTCCTGTGTAATAACTGTACAAGTTAAAAGAACAATTAGTATTTTGCCTGAATACATGATGAAATACGGTTGGGTAGGAAAGCATAGAGACACCGTGTTCTGTCCTGACCAACATTTTGTTCTGAAAAGTTTAACTGGCTCCTCTATTCTCTCACACTTGTAAATGTATATGCTATAAGCATTGACATCCAAGTAATAGAGTCTTTGCAATCTCAATCCGCTCATTTTATTATTTTCTCTTCAATATGTATGCTTTATTGCTTAAAAAAGAAAATGTATATAAAAAAATACATTGTAAAAAATACAAAGTATGAACGACAATACGAATAAATCGAATTGTTCCTGTGATGTTGAAACAAGACAAGAATATTCGTGTGGTCTTTAATTCTTTGTATTTTATATAAATATATTACGTCCTGGATTTTAGAATTTTGCTTTACATTTTAAAAACATGAATAAAATTTTATTAAATTTAAACTACTATTAAAATTAAAAATTAAATTATATAGAAATTTAAGGTTAAACATCTGATTTCTACGCTAATACATTTATTTGTCTCATATTTATAAAGATAAAAAAGACGTAACCCCCTTCCTCAGAGCGGCATATTTCAATATAATCAATACCACCGATAAATATAAATCAATGTCTAAACCAGTAATTGTCGTACGAGAAGAAGGTGTAACCTTAATGTTCGTAAGTACAAACTTATATGTATTATAGTGTTTAGTATAATATAAATATATGTATATTCTATAAGCATGCAGACACGTGAATTTTTTAATTTTAGGGTGATTCCGGTAGCCCCCTTATTTACGAAGCCAATAACGGAAAGAAAATACAAGTTGGTGTTGCAAGTACAGGTCAGGCACGTCCCGGTGGGATTAACAACTTCATGTCGACAAGTTACTTTATTGACTTTATAAGAGAAAACTGCGTAGGAGAATTGACATTTGTGTAATTGTAAATAATTCAGATAAATTTACTCTTACCTCTGAATCATATTTTAAAATATCTATAAAGTCATTCTTCTGTATTGTCAAAAGTATATGTCTTTATTGTAAACGTATTTTTTTTATAAATAATAATTATTATTATAATAATACTTCATTACTTCCAAAAACAATTCATGTGTGTTCAGTACGTGCCTCAATAGTTTTGGGTGTCTCTTAAAACAAA